TGGACACGCGCCTCCACTATTTCCTATCCCGAGCTAATTTTCGCATTTCCCTAAAACTAGAAGAACCCACATCCTTAACTATTTGCGAACAGTTATTTAATCCAGGTCTACATCTACTCCTCCTAACTCCCGTTTCTGCCTCTGATACGCCTCTGACTAGACCTTCATGCCTGAGAAGGTGTTCTACTAACCTATCTCGCCTATTTCTTATTGATTTCCATAAAGTCCTCTGTTCTCCAATTCTTTCTAATACCTCTCCATTTCCAACCTTCTCTATCCACGAAATCCTCATCATTCGCCTGTAACATCATATTTCAAAAGCTTCTAACCTTTTCTTTTCAGCAGCGCCCACTGTTCATGTTTCGAACCCTTAAAGTGCCGCGCTCCAATTAAACCCCTTTAACAATCTTTTTCGAATTTCTATATTAACTGTTCCCAAGCATAGTAGTGACTTCTTTTTATTGAAGGACGAATTTTATTCGAACGCTTCTAACCTTTTCTTTTCCGCCGTGCACACCATCCACGTTACGCACCCGTACATCGTCGCGTTCCAAACCATACACCTTTAACAATCTTTTTGGAATTTCTAAATTAATCGTTCGGGAGCATAGAAGTGACTCCTTTTTATTGAAGGCGACTCGACTCTGCTTTATATCCCTACTACTCCTTTCGTCCTGACTTATCTGACTACCTAGATACCTAAAATCAGTCACTTCTTCTAATTTTTCGTCTCCTATCTTTATATTCGCTCTTTCCCTACTTTTTTTCCCTTGATGGTAAAAAGTAGTTTAAGGTATATAAGTGATAGGTACTTCCTTTTTTATATGTGTAGAACATTTACAATTGATATCTGTGGAATGCATCTTACTAAATGTCTATCTACGTAGGGATCAAATATGGATAAGAATCGCAAAATTGACTGGGCGTGTTCGTTTTTCAGCTTCGGGCAATTTCAGTAGAGTTGTCTACGTCTACTAGTTTCGAACAATAACCCATCATTTTTCCTATATGGCCAAGACATGCAATGACAGCACCGACTCTGCTCATTCTCAATAACGGAGCGTCCGTTGCCGTTGTCTCAATTGCTCATCTCAATTTTGTGATGGCGAGCATCAGAGGTCAAGCGCTGAAGCGGCTTAACCTTTTCTTGTCGAGAAAGATGATGCTGCGTCACGAATTTCCTGGGGCTCGTATAGACTGCCAGGTCTCCCTGTGCGGCTACCTTACACCATGGCCGCTCCTTCTACGGCTTCTGATTGTTATGCTACGGCATTGCTATGAGCATCACGGATATTTTTTTCTGAAACACAATCCCTTCACCGCGTCCACGTTTCGGTGGCCACATTTGAGAATGATTTTTAAAAATTTACCTAACGCAAGTTACTACGACTTCAATTAATTTAATCTCACACCACTTATGATAACAGCTGTACGTGTGCTATGAACCTAACTGCCTTTACAAAGGGGCTGCATAATAAATCAGGGGGCGGTGTCTCTGTAACGTCTATCGTTATTAATTAAAAACTCATCTCCAAGTATAGTCATTAGAGTCATATTTGACATACCTATCATGCAAAACGTTAGAGTATGAATTAGTTTTTCTTAGTTGAGTGGTGAAGTTACCCGTACCTTTTATCTAAATATCATAAAACAGAGAGAATTGATAGGTTAAGAAATCTTAAATTTAAATTACTATCACCTTAATTCTATGTTCAACCTTATCCTTTTAGATTCATAATATAATAAACTTAACAATGTCAATTGTTTGTGTGTCAGGACTGAGATCGTTTCATGTCATATGCATCTGATTGAATAATGTCCTTGGATATTGGTCCAATTTCTAGCGTTTTCGAACTGATTGTAGCGTCTTACGTCACAGTTCTATTGGAAGCAGTTCATCAACGCGCCTGAAGGAGAAACATGAATCACATCAATCGTCCACTCAAATTGCAATTTACAATGTACAAGCATTTGCATGATGGCAATACCGAAGCTTCCTGTATGGCGAGCAGTAGATAATTCTGAACGTTTCGAAGTAAATAATCCGCGACACAATTTACATCAGTCATTTTGATGAATATTTTACACCAATGAATATGTAACAGCTGAACTAATTTATTGAGCTGCGATCATCAAGTGAGAAAAAACGTGAATAACAATGTTGTTGTGCTTAAAGGAATGTGTACATTACGAGAAGCCCGATCCGTGTTCTATTTTTAACACGTACCTAGGACTTTCCTCAGCATATCCTTAAACTTAATTCATTGAAATAACTTAACAGCATTGGTCTGTCGCATCCATAACCTACATCCAGTTTCTGTAGGTGTCTACCATAGAGAGCATTTGTATCAAACAAAATTAATTAAAAAGGTATTGATTCTGTCATTATCATCACGATTCCAATGGGGTACACTAAATCGTACCTACTCATTGTAAACCACAGGAACCATTTATCAAATATACGACTATTTCTTAAAAATGATTTTATTATAACAAACTGTAACCAAATTCTTATAAATGCAAAGGTCATTTTTGAATAAAGAGTAAATTAAATTATAAACAAACATAAAAATCCAATTTGGTGGATTTCCAGATTTTGTGACAGATATTATCAGGTAGAGAATTAAAAATGTAAAACCTGTTCAAAATTTGTTGATGAAATCGTTGATGAATAAGGGAATCCCTAATTAGAGTTTCGTTGAACACATTTTTCGATTTTATAGCTAGTTCTTCCGCATGAGGGGGATGGATAAAAGTAGCCAATATTGAAAATAGCTTCGTCAGTTTTAAATGTAAGTAAAATAAGATTCGATTCTTACCAATTCCAACATGAATTCAAGTCTTACTTTCATATTCATAAATTTCAGTATATTTCAAGAAAACATGATAATAAATAATCGACTTACAATTATAAATTTCATCTTAATTTATACGAAGCATGTTGGAATTTATAGGAATCAACTCCCTAATCATCAAAATCGACCAAGAGTTAGCAATAGTAGAGAAATATAAATATGATAATGATAAAAATGATATCTAGAGCTGAAGCTTAGTGTATCTAACAAATTGTGCTTAGAACGCCTACGATTAAAGGTAAATACTGATGTTGCAGTTTATATTTTACTTGCTGTGCAGCCGACATTTTTATCATCTACTTTCTCTGATATCAACGAAATTATTCGAAACAAGTAACCAATTCACTGAAACAATCTTTTGTGGTTTTATGGAATTAAAAATGGAAAACAGAAATGGGTTCGTTTCTTAACTCATCATTGAAGTCTCCAACGTGATTCGCCTTTTCTGCATATCAAGTGAAAGATATAAAGTTTTTATAGTTGGAATAGTACTTTTATTTAGTTATGTACCATTACGAAGCATCATCTTCAACTAGTTATTATAAATGTTACTAAACTTTGATGAGAAGCTATTAACATACTTATGTGTTGAGTATTCGAAAATTTAGAAGCAAAATTGTCTGCTACACATTTTTCCATTTTATAGCTAGTTCTTCCGCATAAGGAAGGGTGGCTAAAAGTTAGTCAATATTGAAAATGGCTTCTTCGGTTTTAAATATAAGTATAATAAGATTCGATTCTTACCAATTCCAACATGTTGAATTCAAGTATTACTTTCATATTCATGCATTTCAGTATATTTCAAGAAAACATGATAATAAATAATCGACTTTCAATTATAAATTTCATCTTATTTTATACTAAGCATGCTGGAATTTATAGGAATCGACTCCCTAATCATCAAAATCGATCGATATTAGAGAAATCAATATCTGTCAAGAACGATTTTTTTTCTTTAACATCAAATGCTGTACTTCACCATGAAAACATCGATCTTAAAAATTGATTTTAATTTTCCATAAACTTATTGACAGACCTGTTTAAACGTTGTGCGATCCTTTAATTAAAATGGAGCAGCCTCTTCCTGTGCAGGAAAGGCATTAATTGAGTTGTGGCGATGAATAATTGTCTTTGCTTTTCGTTTAATTATTAATTATTTTTGTAATGAGTTTAACACTTGCTAATTGAATATTAAATACGCGTTGAAGAATAGTGGGCGCTGTAAATGATGTAGGTAGCAGAAAATGATTAGAAACGTTTTCACTTGCAACTTTCTTATTATTAGCAATTACCTTAATGTAATGATAATACAATTTCCATATAATTATTTCAATTGCCGTGATTATTATTTTTTAGTGACCAGTCAAGCGATTGTTACATTAATCTACTTTACAATAGAAAAATCCGTTACATAAATAAATACTCGATCGATATACAACAACAATAAGCACTTTCTTGAGCTCAACTCAAGAAAATTATTGTAATAGTACCTTATTTGCATTTCAGCGTCTAACGGTCAACAAAAAGAAAAACGAAAAATCAAGAAAATTCTATACATTTCTCATAATAATTCCAATTTCCTGCCATCAGTATTTCTTCTTTCAAAACCCGAGATATGGATCATTAACACCAAAAAGCCGATATATTTTTATAAGATCTGATGGAAGGAGTTCTAAATACATTGGAAGCAAAATTCTACGGTTGAGGTTTTTTGAGTCATGTCCTGGTACTGCCATTTCAATTACTTAGTGTGAATATGAGAAAAGTTGATTTTGACGTCAACATTTCCACTTTTAAAAGTCGAACCATTTCTAACATATGAGAGCATGGATCATTAGGTGGACGATCTACATGGGTATCTTTTTTTTTGAGAAAATACGATGGAAAAGGATTGAGTGGAACATACAGTTGTGGGTTTTGGATTCGTGAGTTGCTACTGTAAGCCACAAGAGCGTTCATCTGAATATCGGAGAGCAACTGTTCTCCGTGAAACGGTAACGACAGGAACTACACGAGCGCCACCGCGGCGGGCGGCGGTCGTCACCGTCATCACAATCGTCCGTCTCCACCGCCGCCGTCGCCACCGCCACGCCTCACTCACATGAAGCGCGTTCGGAAGAACCACTTTCGATCTCTGCTGCCGTGTGTACCGGTGGAACCGCAGCCGCCTAAGACGCAAACTGGAGCATTCGCTATTTACCGCTGGCGATAGCAGCAGCCTGGTCCAGTGCTTCCTCGGACGTTGCCGGGATCGCACGTGCCCTCTGCCCACTTGAATCAACCACGCACGTGCTCCTTTAAACCGCGAACTTTTCAACACGGCCAGTTCGATTCAGTGCAATATTTCTTAGTGACAATCGAGAAAGTGCCAAACAGTGACTCCCGAAAGGACCCTAGATTACAAAGGATAATCAATTTCGTGATATTCACGAGAACGCGAACAAAGTGGAGTGACTGTGCAACACCCTGGAGCATTTAACGAAAAGCTTCAGTCAGACACAATTAGCACAATATTCCCATTTAGAATAATTGTTATACATTTAGAGAGCGCCCGTCATCCATTTGGATGTGGTACATGTCGACGAAGGTACTTGAATGTGATAAACAGTGGGAAGGGCTTTTGAAGACGAGAAGGTTTCTCGCCTGCACTCTCATCGAAGTCTCCTTTTCGCGTACATACGTTTCGTCATCTGGTAATAAAGCTCAAAAATAAGAAAGGTACGAAACGCGTCGCATATACGAAAGTAAAAGGCAATAAAAAAACAACAACAACAACAGCAACAGGTTCATGTTTTGTGAAACATCTCAGCGGGAAATTAACAAAATGCGGCCAACAATTAGTATGGTAACCCAGTCCTCCTTCGGCAGAGGCATCGACAAACAAGTGGAACGGGTGTTGACGAAAAGGCTCTAGGAAGTGTGCTCACTCGTGCATACTGCAAAAAAAAGCGCTGAGCATCGCGGAGCCCGCAGGTGTTCTTGTGCTGGATTTAGAAGGCGTGGTGGTCAATTCATCCAATCGTGACCCCAGATGCATACGGACTCTTTATCTAACTGTAATTGGAATTCCTTGAGATTTGCAGAAGTTACTATTCCATATTTTGTAGGCATTGTTTACTTTGTCCTGTCTCCAATACGTTCCGATGCAACTGTTTAAAGCCAGAACGATTCTCTAGTGATTGCTTTTGTGTAGACGATCAAGTTCCATTTCAGTGTATGACTTTTACAAAGAAATAAACTCTTCAAACACTTTTGTAAGTGAACTATAACAATTACTCTGAACTTCTGTGATAATTGGGAATCACCTGTAAAGTGTTACTAGTTAGGTGGACTAAAATCCGAAGGAAGATCGATAACGAAAGGTTCGTATCTGTTCATTACAATTTAATCACACAAAAACAACCCCTAGCAGCAACTAATTTAATTTTAAATAAATTATAAAGTTGTGACACATATTTCTGATGAAGAAAAAGAAGAAGAATGCGATTAATAGCGTTTAAAAACATCAGTAGAATAATTGCTACGACTTGTCTCTTATAAAATCCAAAATACTTGTTATGGGTTACTTGGAGCGCCTGTACAAGGGGCAATGATAGGTAGAGCTTTAATTAATTACTTAGGTGCCTTTATAACCGGTATTAAAATATCTATTAGCTTAATTGTCGGTAACAGGGTTACGTTTCATAAGCGAAGCGAAATGCGATTTAGTATCTTATTTTATTACCGTTCCCGCCTGGTAAGGCACATGATGAGCGAAAAGCTAACTCCTAAGATAATAAGTGTCTTAAAATGGATATGAATCATCACGGTACACTTATCGCAAATTGTATCATACAACGTTTATGGTAGCTGAACCAAGCAATAAATTTTATCGGGGACTAGTCGAGATGTTAAAAGAAAAATGATATCTGTAGCTGAAGCTTACTGAAACAAATTGTGTTTGGAACGCCTACGATAAAAGGTAAATACTGATGTTGCAGTTTATATTTTGCTTGCTGTGCAATTGACATTTTTATCGTCTACTTTCTCTGATATCAACGAAATTATTCGAAAGAAGTAACTGAAACAATGTCTTGTGGTTTTATGGAATTAAAAATGGAAAACAGAAAAGGGTTCGTTTCTTAACTCATCATTGAAGTCTCCAACGTGATTCGCCTTTTCTGCGTATCAAGTGAAAGATATAAAGTTTTTATAGTCGGAATAGTACTTTTATTTAGTTATATACCACTATGAATGTTACTAAACTTTGATGAGAACCTATTAACATACTTATTTGTTGAGTATTCGAAAATTTAGAAACAAAATTGTCTGCTACATCTAGCTATATCATCAAAAGTCATCCTACAGTCCTGGAAGCTATGAGTAAGGACAATTCAAGAACTCTAAGAATATGAGTCAATGTTGTTCGTTTATTAACTCGATCTCAGTTAACGTATTTTTGTAAGCTTTGAAAGTACCACATCAATTGCTCTGATAATGACTTAAGTAATGCGTAAATACAGTAACTATCCTAAGCTGTTTAAGAGCTTTGCCTGTTTTTTAAATACTCGTAATAATGGTCAGAATTTTGAACTTTTGAACTATTTATATCCACAAGAAGGAAAACTGGTTACTGTATCATTATTACAAAAGAAAAAAGTATGTATATAATTAAGTTCCCGCCCGCTGGTCATCTTAGTTATTAACTCAAACGTACTTCCTAATCACAGTTGGCGAGTGTTTTGTGTGCTCATTAACACCGTCACGTGCGACCTCTGACTCGCGATTCGATGACGTCACGGGCGCGCGAGTACCATAACATCGTCCATTACTTCACCTGTCAGTAATTAAAGCTGGACGCGTGCCGGGCGTGATCGCTCCCTTTTTATCTGATCTGCCGCATCTCTGGGCTAACGAAAGACTGGCCTAGCTCTTCACCCCCTGTACCGTAGCAAATGCCGTTAGATTGAACATGGTACGACCAATAATGCGAGACCAGAAATTCTCTACGTAACAATTTACCCGTTACATAGATCCATTAGATATTGTAAGTTGGCAGCCTGCTTCCGTTTTCACGGTGGCGCGGACCAATGCTGAGATTATTAAATTCGACCATGCACGAGGCGTACGTTAAATTTTTTCGAATATTAGAAGGTATTAAATACCCACTTTAAAATATTTTCTCAATTTTGAAAGTCGAAAATCTGCTAATGGAGTTAAAAAAATTTTCGGCTTAACTTTCACGCTTCTCAATTTTTGTTTGCAAGGCATCGGTTCTATGTATATTACTGTTACGTAACCTTTACAATCTCAGATAATGATGATAGACAATCTAAGTACATATTTTCGTTCGTATTGTCTCTTCCTGCCTTAACCTAGAGGTTTTTTTTTTGATGTTTTCTATAGGTCATACAATATAGAGTATCTCAGAGAAAACTGCTTAAAATCTCGAGTCATTGACTATCGCTGCGGCGCTGATTTTTTCCGAAGAAATTCCAAGTAAAAAGACAAAATCTACACTCGTATCTCTAATTAGAGGGAAGTTCGAGTTTGAGAAATGAAGAAATTCGAGTTAATTGGTATGGATAATGACTATATATGAAGAACACATCCAGGTAACCCACTTAAATCATGTGGTATCTAGAAATATCTGATTTGAATTAACGTGGTGGGTTAAGTTAGTAAAGCTAATTCGGATTCTTAAAATTGTCCCCCAAGTTGCAATTAATCCGAGATCGCTAATTACTGGTTGAACTATAACTACTCAATCTTTGGGTCTCGCACAGTTTTATGGCCGAAATATTATCGTCATTATCTTTGAAATGAAAAGGTATATAATTAGCTACGGTGATTTCTGCGCACATGCCATGATATCAATCAGCAGTTGTGCAACTGGTCCATTGATGCCCGAACAGTGACGAAATCCAACATGATTTAGGTTAATTGGGACGAATCATAAAAAATTGATCCGCTATTTCAACAGCAAAAAGACAGATAAACATTAAATATCGCTACCGACTGTTTGCAAGCAGTTTAGATGTTCTTTGAGTTATTGTTCCTTTGTAAATTGTTTTATTATTTATTAGTTAACTGTTAATTGTCATTTTTTCCAATGATTTACAATGTATAGAGCAACCAGGGGTCGTTTTTAAAGGACCAAGTTAACAGAAATTGCATTTGAATGGAGAAAGCACACGAATATGCTTACAGCTACTGAATTACATAACCTCACATTTGTTGTCGCGTTATACTCCTGTTCTTTAAGAGCTAGTTTTACACGTTAATCACCGTTTCGTTCAGAGTTTCGTTATTAAATGGAAGTTGTGAGTGAGACACATTAAAAATATTCACCTCGTTCTATTTTTAAAGGGTTTAGCAATGTAAGTGGTTGATTGGAAGTGAGTCAATAATTATAGACCAGGTGGATGTTTTGCGGAGGTTATTAACTTCAAACGGTAGAAGAGTGGAAACAGAATAAATAGGTAACAGCCACGTTGAGGTGATGACCTTTTACAGATAATAGTCCAATGGAACACAATCTATCTGCCGATAACCAGGTTGATGGTTGATGCGATTCAGAAAGCGTGATTCCTTTAATTGGCTTGATGTCGAAGACACCTAATTATTTTAGCACAGCAGAAGGTTGACAAAATTAACTTCTTGCATAATGAAACACGAGAAATGTTTTATTCTCTAACGTGAAATTAAATAACCGTTTTGGAATTTAATTGAAATTGCACACTGAAAATCAACAACAACAACAGGCAACGGCAACGTCATCTTTTTAATGACGAATCGCAAATTGTTATCTCAAGAATCATGTAGGTATCTAATATTACGTAGCCAAGTAAATATACCAGTTGTTAGTGGTCTATGAGCATTCATACTGGCAATGTAAGCATTTGTTTATAACAAATGCCATACACTTAATACGACTGTTACATCAATTTAGATGTCATGCATATGACACATCAAGTGCGCATATATAATTTGTCTTCATTTATTAGAAAAGCAAATCAGATTATGATTGATAAATTAGCTGGTCAAAGTATCAACATATCACGTCATATTACTCACATTAACCACAACATGTGGATGTACTTAGCGATTTACAGATCTAACTAATTTCGACCAGCAGATTCAAAGATCCAAAAACATCCCAAAGAAATGATGCCTTCTAATTTTGTAAGAGACCAGAAAATCAAAATGACTTCCTAAATACCAACTTCATGTAGAATTTGGATTTGGATCCTCAAAGTCCATGGAGTATAGACATATATTTTCAAAGTTCACATTTCTCATCTTTTTAAAAGGTCTTCATTTCTGATGATACATTTGAGCTAAACTTTTCTAAAGAGAACAAACAAATTTCGAGGTTAATAGCGTGCCAAATCGTATCGTTGTGTTAAATGGAGGCACTTTATAAAACACTTGTATATATGGTAAGTGGTCCAAATTGATAATGCGAACGGTTATTGTTTTTTCCGAGACATGGGAAATCTTTAAACGGATTACCTAACGTTCTGAGAAGTGCGACCATTGTCTTTCCTGCCGACACACGCCATTTACTGAAACCGTTTCTTCTTATTATCCGGATTATTGGGGTCAATTCCATCATCCCGCCGGCTAGTTCGGGAGGAAGTTTGAAATCTTGATATTGTTTTTGGAACAATGACGTGGGACTTCTGCTTCGCAATTGTAACTACATATGATACTTACTAAACGTTATCGTCCGGAATGGAAACGAATAGAATACGACAGGTCTTTTATGGTTGTTGCAAAACGGCAATGAAGAATTATGGCATTTTAGAAACATTCAGAGAATGAGCACGGGACCCTTTCCCTTTTTTTTTTTTATTTGAAATGTACTATGGTTCAAGCTTGTATGGAAATAGAAGAACTACAAGAAGTTGCCGATTTTCGATCTTTACGGAGTCATCAGATAGGTATATGGACAGCAAGAAGCACAGGTCAGATTTCTTTTAACAAAAAAGACTCGGTTTTGTGTTCTCGTTCGGTTAATTTGAAAATTTGAAGAAGATTATTACTTGGAGCTCTGTATGAGCGCTGTTGATAGGAAGAAGTTAGCAGCGTGAGGTGTAATGCTATATGAAGATGTTAAACTGTTACCGTAAATAGGAACTGTTAGAAATGAGGAGGCTAAACACACATTAAAAAGTAGGCGAAACACGTGTCCGCAATAACCAATTTATAGTGGTAATTTGGGTGAATCTCTTTTTAGTCAATTAGTCATTTGCCATGGTCTCCAATTTTTACTTTGAAAATGAGGAAGTATTAGAAACAGTTGGAGGCCAGAAGGCTGCTATAGAAGTCAATAATAAATAGGAGACGGTAGAACACTTTCTCAAACATGAAGGAATAG